TATATATATATGGAAGGCACTCAACCTTCTAATTCTGATTCAGTGATTTCTTTAGATGAGTTGCATGAGGCTTTCTTCAGACAACTAGCAGAAGTTTCCAGATCATAGGCCCTGGTTCTCATGGGGGACTTCAGTCTCCTGACATCTGCTGGAAGGGCAATACAGTAGTGCGTGGGCAATCCAGGAAGTTTTTGGAGAGCATTGGATACAACTTCCTAGTGCAAGTGTTGGAGAAACCAACTAGGGGCCATGCTTTTCTTGACCTACTGAAAGAAAGGAGAGCATCCTTTCTTGGACCCTGTACTTCAGAAAAGCAGACTTTGACTCCCTCAGGGAGCTGATGGGCAGGATCCCCTGGGAGGTCAGTCTGAGGGGGGAAAGGAGTTCAGGAGAGTTGGTTGGTCTTTAAAGAAACTTTACTGAGTGCACAGGAACAAACCATTCCTATGTGCAGCAACCAACTTGGCTTAGCAGAGAACTCTTTGGTGAGCTTAAACACAAAAAGGAAGCTTACAAGAAGTGGAAGCTTGGACAAACAACTTGGGAGGTGTATAAGAATATTGCTTGGGCATGCAGGGATGAAGTCAGGAAGGCCAAAGCTCAACTGGAGTTGCAGCTAGCAAGAGACATGAAGGAGAACAAGAAGGGTTTATACAATTATGTTAACAACAAGAGGAAGGTCAGGGAAAGTATGGGTCCATTACTGAATAGGGGAGGCAACCTAGTGAGTGAGGATGCAGAAAAGACTGAAGTACTCAATGCCTTTTTCATCTCAGTCTTCACAGACAAGGTCAGCTCCCAGACTACAGCACCTGGCAGAACAGTTTAGGGAGGAGGTGAGCATCCAACTGTGGCAAAAGAACAGGTTAGGGACTATTTAGAAAAGCTGGACATACACAAGTCCATGGGGCCGGACAGAATGCACCCAAGGGTGCTGAGGGAGTTGACTGATGTGACTGCAGAGCCACTGGCCATCATCTTTGAAAACTCATGGTGATCAGGAGAGGTCCTGGACTACTGGTAGAGGTCAGATATAGTACCCATCTTTAAGGAAGGGAAAAAGGAGGATCCAGGGACTACAGACCAGTCTCACTTCAGTCCCTGGGAAAATCATGGAGCAGGTCCTCAAATAATCCATTTCTAAGCACTTGGAGGAGAAGAAGGTGATTAGGAACAGTCAGCATGGATTCACCAAGTCATGCCTGACCAACCTGATTGCCTTCTATGATGAGATAACTGGCTCTGTGGATACAGGAAAAGCAGCAGACTTAAGACCCCTTGATTTTAGCAAGGCTTTTGATACAGTCTCCTGCAGCATTCTTGTAAGCAAGCTGAGGAAGTATGGGTCAGATGAATGGACTCTAGGGTGGATAGAAAGCTGGCTGGAGCATTGGGCTCAGAGGGTAGTAAACAGTGGCTCAATGTCTCAATGGCAGCTGATGTCAAGTGGAGTGCCCCAGGGGTTGGTCCTGGGGCTGGTTTTGTTCAATATCTTCATTAACAATCTGAAAGATGTGATAGATTGCACCCTCAGCAAGTTCTCTGATGACACCAAGCTAGGGGGAGTAGTAGATGCACTGGAGGGTAGGGCTAGGATTCATAATGATCTAGACAAATTGGAGGGTTGGGCAATAAGAAATCTCATGACATTTAATAAGGACAAGTGCAAACTCCTGCACTTAGGACAGAAGAATGCCATGCATTGCCACAGCCTGGGGACTGGCTAAGCAGTAGCTCTGCAGTAAAGGACCTAGGAGTCATAGTGGACAGTAAGATGGATATGAGTCAGCAGTGTGCCCTTATTTCCAAGAAGGCTAACAGCATACTGTGCTTCATTAGTAGGAGCATTGCCAGCAGATTGAGGGAAGTAATTTATTCCACTCTATTCTGTACTGGTGAAGCCACATCTGAAGTTCTTTCTCCAGTTTTGGGCCCCCCACTATAGAAGGGATGTGGGCAAGTTGGAGAGCCTCCAGCAGAGAGCAGTGAAAATGGTTAGGGGGCTGGGGCACATAACTTCTGAGGAGAGGCTGAGGGAAATGGGCTTATTTAGTCTGCCAACGAGAAGACTGAGAGGGGCTTTGATTGCAGCCTTTAACTACCTGAAGCATGGTTCCAAAGAAGATGGAGCTAGACAGGTCTCAGCAGTGGCAGATCACAGAACAAGGAGCAATGGTCTCAAGCTGCAGCACGGGAGGTTTAAGTTGGGTATTAGGAAAAAGTTTTTCACTAGGAAGGTGGTGAAACACTGGAACATAGAGAGCTTACATAGAGAGGTTGTGGAATCTCCGTCCTTGGAGGTTTTTAAGGCTTGGCCTGACAAAGCTGTAGTTGAAATGATCTAGTTGGGGATGGTCCTGCTTTGAGCTGGGGGTTGCACTAGATGCCGTCTGGAGGTCTCTTCTAACCCAAATTTTCTATGATTCTTTATCACTAAACACATATACCAGAAACAGAAGGGGCAGACATAGGAAACAAGATTATTGGAAGAATGGAAAGATGTACCTGTGAAGACAGATTTATGGACTTCGGGAATTTTTGGTTGATTGAAAATACTAACATAAGAAACCATGGAGATGCATACAAAATTCTGAATGATATAGAGAAGGTCAATTAGGAGCACCTATTGTATTTGGGCCATGAGAGAAAATAATGGATATGAAAGTTGACAGATTTAAAACTGATAAAATAACATTTTTCCACCATGCATAAATAACCTGTGGTACTCACTGCCACAGGGTAGTAGTGACAGCGAGGACAGAAAAAAAAGATTAGACATTTACATAGTTAAGCATCTACAAATAGATTTCATAGAGAGTTTGTTCTTTAAATTAGAGATATAAATCACTGAGCTTCAAGTCACAGTTAAACCATTAGCTGATGAAAGAAACTTCCCTTTGGGGCATGTTTTAAATAATTGTCTACTATAGGGATTTTTTTGTATCTTCCTCTGAAGCATTTGTTACTGTTAGCTAAGTTGGGATACCAGACAAGATGGACTACTGTTCTTTTTTCAGCAGATCTGTTTCTGTATAAATAAGCAGACTAAGTAACAATAAGATTTTGTTACAGGCTGAGCTAATAATGATACCTGTAATTAATGCCTGGCACTTTCCATTTAAGACCCGTTTTTCAGTTGCTTATAACTTATCCAGACTTACTCACTTGACTGCCTGATATGAAATTTGCTTAAGTTTTGGCAAAAAAAAGTTCAGTCATTTCAGAGAATGAGTTAAAGAAAAGATGCGTTGTTTTACCTGTGTTAAAAATATTTTGCAACCACTGAAAAGTTCTAGTTAACTCCGTGCTCTGGAGGAAGAACTTGAAATTTGGCCTGAGGTTGCCTCTAAGTTAAAAATTTTGTATTTTTCTGTCCATCTCAAATTCAACCCAAACTTGGCCACTTTATAAGTTGCTGAATTTCATAATTTGCATATTCTCAGTGTTCTTAGAGTTTGGCAGCTAAACTCTATAGCTTTCATCTTCAGTGAGTATACTTCAAGCCAGTGCTGCAGGAACTAATCTAAGTTTCCCCTGTAACTTCTCCTTCTTCCTGTAGATGTTGAGGTTTATTCATGGTGCTGTCAGAGCCTAGACTGCCTGGCATGGTATGGAGGAAGAAAAAAAGTAACTGACACATGTAGGGTCCTAAGGAGCAGAGTGGGGAACAGGTATAGGCTAGGGATAATAGGCAGCCAGAGACAGGAGTAGAGGACAAACCAGGCTTGGAGAAGGGAGCAGCAGCAAAAGAAACAGACTGGAAAGATGGGACATGCTGGAGAAAAAGGGAAGCAGGTTCTAGAATTGCTGATACGCCCTGTGCTCCAAAACCAAGATTCCTGTCTCTCATTCCTCTGCTATTCAACTAAGTCTGTGTTTTTTTCTGTCTTACAGTGCATATTTGATGGAAAACAATCCGTTACTATCACCAGTTCCCCTAGTGATTCAAATGATAAACATCAGTGCTGTGGATCTAATGATCCCAGTCCTGCTGATAACCATGGGCTGGAGTCGGTATGGTTCCATATGATGAATTTTCTCTCTTCAGTTTCCTTTTTTTCCATAACTTAAGTAATGTTGTACAAAGCTATGTTAAAAGAACACAAAGTCTGTGAAGTCAAACGCTCAGAAATCAGGGGATGAAAGAATTAAGTGTGCCAGTGCAATCATACATTCTATGATACTGTTGTATTTACTACTTTTTCCACAGAGACCCCTATCTTATCCATAGATGATGCTCAGAAAATAAATCAAAGCTTCATGTTGACTAAAATTATTAGTAAGATCCTTGCCTCATTTGTTGTTGGAAAGAGAAGAGATGGTTTAATGTGTTAGGCAACTGAATGTTACCCTTGGATATTGAACTCCATCTCTGTCTTTGCCATAATCTTCCTCTGTTTTTCCAGGGATGAATTTTTAAAAAATTAAGTGCTAAACTTGTCAAATGGACACCTACTATTTGAGGACATTTCAAGTAATTATAGCTTTAATCTTGCTGTTCTTCAGTTTACTAGTCTGAAAAACGAGGATGTATGATAAATGTCATTTCACCTCTCAGACATTTTGTGAAGAGAAATCCCTTAGCATTTTAAAATATTCAGATACTAGGGTGATGAGCATCTTAAAGAAAAGCACAGACAAAAATTATTAATATTTCTTTCAATGCAGGTCATAAATGATATAATAAAGGATGGATTTCCATAGTTAATGATGAGGATTAAAATATGTGAATGTGAACTGTTTTTCTACTAAACTACTTTTTCTACACTCTGAATGAATCCAGGTCCCCTGCATATTTGGCAAGGAGCCTGCAGCCCCCAGCCACTCAGCTTCAGCTCTAGAGGCAGACAAAAATTGCATGCAATCATGTATTTACAGACTACTTTATATGCCTCAAGGAACTGAAGTAAGGTTGCACTGGCAGCTTCCTAGCAGTTTCTAACTTTTTAATTCTTGACTTCTAAAATTAGCATCCTTCTAATATATTTATTAGATACCATGCCCATATACCTTTATAGAACAAAAGCAGTTGTTTAGCTAGTCATTTTCTGTGTATTAGGAAATCTGTGACTTTTAGATTTGTGACTTTTTAAATGTTTTGGACTGAACCATATTTAGAAAGATATTCCTTCTAGTTTCAAAGATTTTGAGTAAGAACCTATTATGTATAGAAGTACGCGCTGCTTCCCAGGGTTGCGAGTATATGCTAACAGTTATGAAGCAATCAAACAACACAATTATACAAGACCATCTAAAGTGCCTAAAATAAATAGGTATTTCTGGTGTCTTCCAGGGAGAAAAGGTTTTCTCCTAACGCCATTTTCCTATTAAGTTATTTTGCTGCTCAGAAACATGTATATAGTAGTTTTGGGGTGGATGATATTGTACACATAATACTTCAGGAAAAGTACGAGGGGCAACAGTTGTTATGGGTGATAGCTTTTATTGGATTTTCTGTATAGTTGGGAGGGATATAAGTAAGTTTTTGGGTACCAAGTACCTGAGACTTGAGGAAGCTTGTCTATGTCCTTCTCAACTATACATTTGGTCCAATAAAAGATACCACCCACAAAAATCCTTAACTTTTGTATGTTAATATATGTGTTTAAAATGCCAAGGAACAATTTGGATGTTATTTTCCTCCTCTAGAATCTTTTGAAATATTATAAAGACTCCCAGATCAAAACATAATTGAACTTTCTGGAAGCCTGTTTCTGGTTCCAAACAAGTATCCTTTTAATTAAGACTGAAAACTGGGACTAGCTTCCCAGAACTGGGACTAGCTTCCCGGATTAAGGACAACAAGAAGTCCTTTTTTAAATACATAGGGAGTAAAAAGAAGGCCCCAGGTAATGTGGGGCCCTTGCAGGACGCGACGGGGAATCTGGTTGTCACACCAGACGACAAAGCCAACATATTTAATGATTTCTTTGCCTCTGTCTTCCTCAGTAAGGACCAGAACTGCCACCTCCCTGCTAGGCCCCCATCGGGCCCCGAGGGAGGCACACCTGAGCCCAAGTGAAGTGAGAATCTAGTTAGGGAGCTGCTGGAGGGGCTGGACGTTTTTAAGTCAGCTGGTCAAAATTGTAAACCTGGTGACAATAAATGTGGTGGGTCATTGCGAGTCCCCTGGCGCAGCTTTATGAGCACTTGTGGTGCTCTGGAGAGGTGCCGGAGGACTGGAAGAGGGCCAATGTGGTTCCCATCTTCAAAAAGGGGAGGAAGGAGGACCCGGGAAACTATAGGCCAGTCAGTCTTACCTCGATCCTGGGCAAGCTGTTCGAGAAAATTATTCTGGCACACATCCAGGAGGGGCCAGCAGGGAAATGCATGCTCAGGGGCAACCAGCACGGGTTCATCAGCGGCAGGTCATGTCAGACCAACCTGGTGGCCTTCTACAATCGGGTCACTAAATCATTGGATGCAGGGGTAGCAGTGGATATAGTCTTCCTGGACTTCCGGAAGGCTTTCGACACTGTCTCTCACCCCGTTCTCATTAGGAAACTGGGGGACTGTGGCG